GCCCAGGCAGGTCTCGAACCCACGGGCTCAGGCAGTCCACTCACCTCAGCCTCCCAAAGGCGTGGGATTACAGGCTGAGCCACCATCAGAAGTGTCTCTTCCTGTTCCTGAGTCACCTGCTGAATCTAAGGCTGGCTCTCTGCCCTCCGCGTCCCTGCCTGCAGGCTCCCCACAGAGGTCGTTTGTCTTTTGGCCAAGACCATCAGGGCCTGTCTCAGTGACTGATTACCATGGCTTTTCACATTTAAAAACAGCAGGTTCGAGACCCACCCAGGCAACTTGGTGAGACCTCATCTCTACAATAAATCAAAAATTAGCTGGGCATGGTTGCACTTGCCTGTAGTTCTGGCTACTTGGAAGGCTGAGGTGGAAGGATTGCCAGAGCTCAGCAGGTCAAGGCTGCAGTGGCCGGGAGCTTGCCACTGTACTCCAGTCTGGGCAACAGAGTGAGACTCCAACTCAAAAAAAAAAAACAAACCCAGGCCCTAAGAATGCCATCACTGCTGATTCACTGAGTAGCTCATACCAAATCATTTGCAGATTTTCTCCTCAATTGCAGAATCCTATTGTTTGTTGTATGTAGGACCTGTGAACATATGAAGTTCGACAGTTAGGTTTGCAAACTTATCCTAGAAAAAGTGCTCCTTGCTTCATTGCTGAATATCACTAAGATCACCTTCAAAGTACTCCCCTCGGGAAGCTATACACCAATGCCAGTGTCTAGTCCATCCATCAAAGCAATTTTGGAACTCTTTCTGGAATGACCATCAGAGCCATTGTCTTATAACCCTTGATGTCCTGAATGTCATCAAATGTCTTCCTTTCAATGTTTCCTTTATCTTCAAGTAAAGAAAAAAATCACTGGGAGCCAGATCAGGTAAGTAGGGTGGGTGTTCCAATACAGTGCTACCAATGTAAGTGCATGGTGGCAAGTTCCGAACTTAATTGTCAGACCTCAAAAAATAACAGCAACACTTTTTCTGTGATGGTTCAGGAACCTAATTGTCAGACCTCATACACTCAATTTGGAAGACAGGCTAAGCCACAGTAGAGATAGAAATGGTAACAAGCATGTATTATGAAGTCATCCTGTCCTTTACTATTTGTGTGGATTTGGACAAGTCACTGTCTCTTTGAGCATCAGTTTCCCCATCTATCAAATGAGGTTAAAAATACCTAACTTGTGTGGTTGTTTTAAGAATTAAATGAAATACTAATATATGGAAAACAACAGCGCCTGGCTCTGGGTACTCGATGACTCCTTCCGGTCCCCTTGTCTCTCAGGTCCTGTCTTATCCAGCTCTCCTCATATAATCTCCAAAGTTTCAGTGTCATCTTTGACTTCTTGTTATCCATTCCTCTTATCTGAGTAGTGAGTACATGTTATTATTACTTCCTTCAGGACAAGACACTTCTTACTTCATCCCGTGCCCTACTTCCTGTCAGTTTACAGATTCTGTTGTCCCTTTTAGTGCAGTTTATTTCAACACTTTCTTTACTGACCTTCCAATGCCAAAGACAGAATTTCAGAAACTTTTTTTTTACTTACCTTTAAACCTATGAGGGGGGACCCCAAAAAACTGGAATTTCTTGATAAAAAATTGTGTATTTATTCCTACATGTTTAAACTTAATCACCTTCAAAGTACTCTCCGTTTGATGCAATACACCTATCAAGATGTTTTTTCCACTGCTGAGAATCGTTTTTGAACTCATCAATTTTGATGCCTTTTAGTGCTTCTGCCATTTTTTGTTTCACCTCTTCCACATGGGCAAAATGTTTCTCTTTGAGGACTTTTTTCATTTGGGAAACAGAAAAAAACTTTGCTTGGGGCAAGATCAGGTGAATAGGGAGGGTGGGATACAGGGTCATGCTGTTTTTGGCCAAAAACTACTGAACACTCAGTGTGGTGGGAGCCCATGTGTTGTCATAGTGGAAGACCAATCACCTGTTTGCTACAACTTGGGCTGCTTCTTCCACAAATCATGATGCAACCTTCTCAAAACTTGCAGATAAAGTCTTTGGTTGACCATTTGATCTGTAGAACAAATTCTGAGTGTACTACAAGCGGCCCAGTGTCCAAAAGATAATTCTGGATTTTTGGGGGGTTCCCCCTCATAGATCTTATAAACCTTTCTCTCAATTTACAGTGGCTCTTGCTCAAATTTTACAATAAGTATGAAGATTTTATTCAGAGCCACAAAATCTTGCAGTGTCTTGTCCGAGTGACTTTTCTCTCTCTGGACTGCCTGCATTGCAGCTAAGCTACATCATCTTCCCTTACCCACCCTTCACCCATGCTGGATCTCAGTGCCCCTGAACAGGATGGTTTACCTCAACTATTGTTATTGTACAGCCAGACTTGTAATAGAAATGGAAAGTTAGCTAGGAAGAAGAATGTCGTGTCCTCCACCTGTCTGAAAGATGGCCAGTGCACCACCCTTCCTTTGCAACACTATGTGCATGTAGAGTTGATAAGTCTCTCGATTTTGAACCCACGCCTACCTTCGAATGTTTATACTTAGTCTCTCTGTCGCTCCTTTCAGTATAATATTTGAAACTTCTGCAGACTCCGTGAAAGGTTTTTTGTGGTTTTTTTGAGTTGGAGTCTCACTCTGTCGCCCAGACTGGAGTGCAGTGGCTGCTCCCGGCCACTGCAGCCTCGACCTGCTGGGCTCCGGTGATCCTTCTGCCTCAGCCTACCAAGTAGCTGGAACTACAGGTGTGCGGTACCATGCCCGGCTAATTTTTTATTTATTGTAGAGATGAGATCTCGCCAAGTTGCCCAGGCGGGTCTCGAACCCACAGGCTCAGGCTGTCCACTCACCTCAGCCTCCCAAAGGCATGGGATTACAGGCTGAGCCATCGAGCCCGGCTGAAAGGTTTTTGATTATATTTGCTATAGGTTTCTGCAGCTCTGAAGCAAGGCCAGATTACACCAACAGAGCTCTGTCAAAAATGCCTCTCTCTTATCAAGAAGACCAAGTTTCTCAATGCCTATATTACTGTCTCAGAAGATGAGGCCTTAAAACAAGCTGAAGAATCAGAGCGAAGATATAAGAATGGTAAGTTACTTTTAATTATACTTAATTGTTATGTCTCCAGAGAAAGAGTTTAATTGGATGTAGGCGCCTCCATTTGGCAAGTGAAGCTTTAAACATAAAATATACCCTTATTTGAAGAACTTGCCATGAGGTACATTGAAAATGAGGTTAATGAATATGTGATGCTTTATAGTGTCCAACTATATTAACTTCTAACAAATTTGATTTCTAGAGAAGTATCTGCCACAAACTCATAGTTACTGTGACAATAGGTACGAATGTGTCTTCATGTTTTGAACTGTTATCCCTGACATTGCTGTGTTGGCTTTTTAATGCAGGTCAGTCACTTGGGGATTTAGATGGAATTCCTATTGCAATAAAAGACAACTTTAGCACATTGGGCATTGAAACAACGTGTGCATCAAATATGCTGAAAGGTAAAGTTTAACTGACCAGAGCATTTATAATTTTGTAAAAACAGGTCTTTTCCCATTTAAATTAAAAATACTAAAGTACCAAGATTATCTCATACTAATTATATCTTTGAAGGAAATACTGAGAAGAGAATATTACTTTTTTCCACTGTTCACTCTTTTCAAGTACTGTATTTTCTTTAGAGTAGCCTCCTTAATGAATGAATACTACTTTAGAAGTTTTCAAAATCCTATTTAAGAAGATTCAGTTTGATAATTGATCACCAACTGGGCGTGGCAGTGCAAGCCTATAGTCCTGGCTACATGGGGGCTGAGGTGGGAATATTGCTTGAGCCCAGACGTTTTAAGTCCAGCCTGATCAACATAGTAAGACCCTGGCTCTAAAAACAACAACAACAACAAAATTGATCACCATGGACACACACTGTATGACCTCTAACTCCAGCTCACTGATAACATGGAAATAAGCACACATTGGCTGTCACTACACTCGTCTTGTGGACGATGTGAGGATTCATTAGCATCTTCTGATCAGTTATTTTTTATTTCCTAACTCCTTTATCTCCTACAGCACAGTAGGTGATGCATAGTTTTAGAGTTTAGTAGGTCAAAAGGAAGCATGTTTATCAAGATGTTTGGATTGTAAGAGGAAAGAGAAAGGGAAAAAAGGTTATTCAGCATGCTGTCCACTGACAGTAATGTTCTATGACAAATAGGCCCGTATCTTCCAATAGGTAGTCTGTTCATTGTGTTGGGATATACAATAGAGCTTTTCAATAGATAGAGAACATTTTAATTGAGAATAAATATCTATTTCTAATTGGAAATACATAAAAATTACTGTGTGGTTGACATCAACTGAGAAGAAAAAGTCAAGTATAATGAGCAAAATAAAGATTTGTGATTAATTTCAAAAGAATTGGACACATCTCTGACTCTCATACAGTATTTTGTAGAACTGTTAAGTCAATGTTCTCAGATTATAAAAATAGCAAATGTACAGACTGTCTTTGAAAAATGTGTACAGCTAGCAGTAGAAGAAATTAACTCCTGGAAGAACCTACTATTAAATTGAGAATAATTAACACATGTCAATATGAATTGCTTAATTGCAGTTAGAATCTTGTTTCCTGCATATGATTTACATGTTCACTATTTGTCTCCTATAATAAAAATGACTGAATTTGTTTCAGGTTATGTACCACCTTATAATGCCACAGTAGTTGAGAAGTTATTGGATCAGGGAGCTCTACTAATGGGAAAAACTAATTTAGATGAGTTTGCTATGGGGTAAGTAAAACTGAAATCTTCTCTTACATTTCTTCCATCTGTACCTGTAATTTTGCTAAATGTAGGAACATGGAGGATTGAGGGTCTAGTGCCAGTTTCTTAGTCCCTGTGTGAAATTATTTGCAATTGTCTAATAGGTATATAGTCATATCTCATTTTGCTTTTAGTTTGCATTTCCCTTGATGAGTAATTATGTTAAACACTTTTTCATGTGTCTGCCATCCATATATCTTCTTCTCCAGTGAAGCAGCTGTTCAAATCTTTGCCCATTTTTAAAATTGGGTCCTCTTATTGTTACAAGAGTTTTTTCGTATATTCTGGATTCAAATCCATTATCAGATAGGTGATTTGCAGATATTTTCTTCAAGTCTTTGGCTTAATGTTTCCATTCTCTGAACATACTTTTTAAACAGTAAAAGTTCTTGGCTGGGCTCAGTGGCTCACACCTATAATCCCAGGACTTTGGGAGACCAAGATGAGAGGATTGCGGGAACCTAGGAGTTCAAGACCAGTCTGGGTAATATAGCAAGACTTTGTCTATACAAAAAAAAAAAAAATCAAGAAAATTATCTGGGTGTGGTGGCATGTGCCTATAGTCCCAGCTACCTGGGAGACTGAGGCAGAGGATTTCTTGAGGTCAGGAGGTCGGTCAAGGCTACCATGAACCATGATCAGGCTAATGTACTCCAACCTGGGCAGTACAGTTAGACCCCAATTTTTTTTTTTTAAGTGAAAGTTCTTAATAAAGTCCAGCTTATCAATTTTTTCTTTTTTTGCTTTTTTTAATTTTTATTTTTTAGAGACAAGGGTCTCACCTTGTTGCCCAGGCTGGTCTCAAACTTCTGGGCTCAAGTGATCTTCCCGCCTCAGCCTTCTGAATGCCTGGGACTATAAGCACATAGCACAACTTGTAACTTAATGTTTTTCTATTATGACTCAAGTGTCCTAAGAAATCTTTACCTAACCCAGGGCCACAAAGATTTTTATTCTAGAAGTTTTATAGTTTTAGCTCTTACATTTAGACCTGTGATCCATTTTGAATTAGTTTTTTGTATATGGTGTGAATAAAGTTCACTTTTTTGACATATGGATGTCCAGTAGTCCCAGCACTATTTGTCAAAAAGATTATCCTTTCCTAATTTAATTATCTTAGACTTTTTTGTCTAAAATCAAGCACATACATAGGTTTGTTTCTGGACTATGTTCTATCTCTACTCCAATATCACTATCTTGATTCTTATAACTTATAATAAGCCTTTAAATTAGGTAATGAGAATCTTCCAACTTTGTTCTTCTTTTTCAACATTATTTTGCATAGTCTAGGTCCATTGTCTTTTCATGTTTTACAATAAGCTTGCTGATATCTACAAAGAAGTTTGATGGAATTTTAATTGTAATTGTGTTGAATATATAGATCAACCTGGGAAGATGACATCTTAATAGTGTCTTCTAATTCATGAATACCCTATGTCTCTCCATTTAGTGAGATTTGGTTAAATTTTTATCAGCAATGTTTTTATGATTTCCTACATATAAATATTACACATAATTTGTTTGATTTATCCCCAAATATTTTATGTTTCTTAATGCTACAGAAAATGATATTTTTTCAATTTCTTATTATTTATTACTAGTACATAGTAACATAATTGATTTTTCTATGTTGATCTTTTATCGCATGACCTAATTAAAGCTTGCTAATTAGTTCTAGTTGATCTTTGTGGATTCTATGGAATATTTTATGTAGGGGGACATGTAGTCTGCAGATAGGTTTTATTTCTTTTTCTTTCTTATTGCACAATTGGGGCCTTTAGCGCAATGTTAAATAGAAGTGGTAAGCCAAATATCCTTGCCTTGGTCCTAATCTTGGAGGAAAGCATTCTGTCTTTTACTAAAAGGACTTTACTTCCCCTTTTATAACATGTGTCACATTTGTAATATTTGCTTGGTCTGTGTTTCCTGTTTCATAGAAACAGTTCTTGACTGTGTTGTTCACTGTGGTGTCTCTTGGTTCTCAGTAATTGTGTGTTGAATGACCTAATCTGTGGGAGTAAACTTGAGCAAAGGTTTTTATGACCATTCCTTCATCTGCTGATCAAAATTAACATTAACAGTGAGGGAGAGGTAGACTTTGTGTACCTCCAGATGTAATTCTCTGAGGGCACAGCATCACCTATGTAATATTCCAGCTGAGAATGTATAGCCTGAATCTAATAACAGGGAAACAAAAGACAAATCCAAAATGAGTAACAGCATTCTGTTAAGCTGTCATGTCATAAAAACAAAGAGAGGCTGTGAAAATCTTCCAGGATATAAAGGGCTTAAAAAAAAGCAAAACCCAAAATTATGAAACGTAGAAAAGAAAACTTAGGGGAAAATCTTTGCAACTTTAGGTTAGGCACAGATTTTTTTAGGTAGGACACAAATTTTTAGATAAAGCATAAATTCATTTTAAAAAATTGATAGACTGGGCTGGGCACAGTGGCTCAACCTATAATCCCAGTGTTTTGAAGGCTGAGGTGGGAGAATTGCCTGAGCCCAGAGGTTCAAGACCAGCCTGAGCAACTTGGTGAGACCTTGTCTCTACAAAAACTGGCTGGTCATGATGGCATGCATCTGTAGTTCCAGCTACTTGGAAAGCTGAGATGGAAGGATTGCCTAAGCCCAGCAGGTCGAGGCTGCAGTGGCTGTGAACATGTCACTGCATTCCAGTCTGGGTGACAAGTGTGAGACTACAACTCAAAAAAAAAAAATTGATAGACTGGGCTTTATTAAAATTAAGAACTTCTTTACTTTGAAATATACTATTAAAAGATGAAAAGAGAAAATATTTACAAGACGCATATCTGAGAAAGAACTGGTATTCAAAATCTATAGAACTTTTCCCAACTCAGTAATATGAAGACAGGCAGCTCAACTTTTTCAAAAATGGGCAAAATATTTAAGCAGACATTTCATCAAAGATGATATATAGTTGACAAATAAGCACATGGAAAAATGCTTAATATCATTAGTTATTAGGGAAATTTAATAAAACCATAGGCTGGGCCCATGTCTCACATCTGTGATCCCAGCACTTTGGGAGACAGAGGTGAGAGGATGGCTTGAGTCCAGGGATTTGAGACCAGCCTGGGTAACTTGACGAGCTCTAGTCTCTACAATAGATTAAAAAAAAAAAAAAACTAGGCATGGTGGCACATGCTTGTAGTCCCAGCTACTTGGAAGACTGAGGCAGAAGAATTGCCTGAACCCACAGGATGAAGCTACGGTGGCCGTGATCATGCCACTGCACTCCAGCCTGGGTCAGAGAGTGAGATTCTGACTCCAAAAAATAAATAAATAAATAAATAAAGCCACAATGAAATACATACACCTTTTAAAGGAGCTTAATAAGAATGATAATATCAAATGCTGACAAGGTTGCAGCACAATTGGATTTCTATACATTGCTGGTAGGGAATACAAAATGGGATAGCTATTTTGGAAAATGATTTGGCAGTTTCTTACAAAGTTAGACATGCACTTACTATATCACCCAACAGTCTCAGTCCTAGGAATTTACCCAAGAGATGAAGATTTATGTTTGCACCAAAGCACTGGCTAGGACCTTTCAGTACATTTACAATAGCTTTATGCATAATTGCCAAAAACTGGAAATAACCCAATGTCTATTGACTGGTAAAAGATTTTTAAAAAGAAAAGAGACTAAGGAGACAATGATAGCTAAATGCAATTCCTAACCCTAGACTTGGTCCTGGGGGGCGGGGATAAAATGCCATACAGTACATTATTCTAAGAAAATTGGATTAAATACAGTAGATTAGGTAAAAAATATTGTATTGATGTTGATTTTACTGAGAATGAAAACTATACTGTGACTGTATAAGAATATCCTTATTGGGAAATACATACTAAAGTATTTAGGGGTAAAGGGTCATGATATATATGTAATTTACCCTTAAGTGGCTTAGAAAACAAATGTGTGTTTGCACATACATACAAACACACACAGAGCATGCAAGTGATAAAACAAATGGGATAAAATGTTCAACAAAATCGCATCTGGGTAAAGAGTAGAAAGCCTTTTGATGTTTTTATTTTTGCAATTTATCTGAGAATAAAATAATTTCAAAAAAATTTAAAATGAGTTATTAGCTTTCCACTTGTAATGCTTTTCTTAGAGCTGCTGTTAAAGGGAGGGATTCCTTTAAAAGATACCTACACTGTTTGAATGTGACCCTTTTCAACTGAAAGACCTTAATTCATAAGGGAAATTTTCTTCAGTTGACTTGAATAATCAATTGGGATAAAATCTTTTCTTAGCAGACTAGTTCTCTACTTTTCACCACAAATGCTTTTCCTTCTTATTCTCCCAAGCCATCTAATTAATGAAAGCTACATGTGAGCAGGCTTCCTGCCTTTTCCAGCTCAAGCTACAGTAGGTTATTAAATGCTCAGTGAGTGTCAGCTGCAAATAATGTGCTCACAGAAAGTGAATGTTTTACTAAGGTATCTTGCTTCGCTTCTTCATCTCAGATCTGGAAGCACAGATGGTGTATTTGGACCAGTTAAAAACCCCTGGAGTTATTCAAAACAATATAGAGAAAAGAGGAAGCAGAAACCCCGTGGTGAGAATGCAGATTCTGATTGGCTAATAACGGGAGGAAGCTCAGGCGGGAGTGCGGCTGCAGTGTCGGCATTCACATGCTTTGCGTAAGATGCTTTTCTCTTTCTGTACTTTAAAACCCATCCAAATACAGTCAGAAACCACATACAACATTCAGCAATAGAGTAGTTCATACCTTGATATTTTTGTTTCTTTTTGGTGAGCAGTTTGTGCTCAAAGGTGTATCAAAATTTTGTCTTGGTCAGGCGTGGTGGCTCACGCCTGTAATCCCAGCACTTTGGGAGGCTGAGGTGGAAGGATTGCTTGAGCTGAGAAGTTCAAGACCAACTTGGGCAACAAAGAGAGACCTCATCTCTAAAATAATAATAATAATAATAATATTAATATTAGCTGAGTGTGGTGGCACATGCCTGTGGTCCCAGCTACTCAGGAGGCTAGGGTGAGAGGATCTCCTGAGCCAAGGAAGTTGAGGCTACAGTGAACTGTGGTCATGTCACTGCACTCCAGCTTGGGTGACAGAGTTAGACTCCGACTCAAAGAAAAATAAAATAAAATAATGTCTTACAAATGCACTCAACTATACAGTATACCATTTGTATTTTAGACATTTAATTTAAAATAACATTTGAACTTTTCCTCCATAGTATCTGGTAAAATCTTAAAACATGATTTTATGGATCTTGCAGAATGAAACATTAAGCATAAATGGACTGCATTGAATTTCATTTTTAAAGTAAATTATTCAAAGCTAACATACCATGACTTTAGTTGAGTGCTACTGAGCTAACCTGTTAGTAACGTTTTCTTCTTCAGCAAAACCAGACGTTTGCAAGAAAGAAAAGGGAAAATGCTCCTAACATGTATCAATAGGATATTAAAATAGTGTTTTCATAAATCTGCAACTAAAAATGTTTATCAGTAAATAAAGTGTTTTCAAGCTTATTGGGAGCCGATTCTGTTTATCTGATACAATTTTGTAAGAATCCTTTGATCTCACTTTCAGTCCCATGAATGAAGCATTTCTCAACCACCTAAAGAAGAGTCAGTAAATATGGCTCTTACTAGCTATATTTTATAAGTCTCACTTTAGCCAAGTGGAATGTGTTTCTTTAGTAATACTTTGTGTATTTTATCTCTTCTTCATTATCCACTAAAACCAAGCTCTTTCACACTCTTTGCAACCTATAAATTATTTATATTTTTTAGAGCTATGGAGATTGAAGTTCCACAGATTTTGTTTTTTTTTAAGTTTTCCTGAAACCTTATTAACAAGTGAAACCATTTCATTTTATCTCTCTGGAATATGCTAGCATTGTATTAATATTAATGAGTGTTCTGACAAGTTGGGACTGCGGGATTAGGTGCTTTTTTTCTGTCCTCATCATCCCACCTAGTGTGCATCTTTCTGAATGTACTTTGAGAAGATGGCATTTTGACACATAATTCCTGTGGAAATGTAAGTTTTACTTTTACACAGCCGTCAGTGAATGCTAATAAGAAGATGTATCTTTTTAGATTGTGAAAGCAATATTCTGATTTTGTGGCTTAAATGGACATGGTAAGAAAGGAAATAAAATTTGCATTTTCTGTAGCACATAATGCCTTGTTATTGTTAGGAGTGTTGTTTAGTCCACAGCTTCACTTCACATATAATCAATAGAAGCACAGACCAGAAACGACTTAAGATGAAGTATCCCAAACTGTCAAGTATTCTGCTTTTGTTTCCCCCTTTTTGATTTATTTTACACAAAAACAGGAAGAATCTTGGACTACTATACAACAACTAAAAAGAATGAGGTAGAACACTATGTAGTGACATGGAAAGATAGCCAAGATACATTAAGTGAAAAACAAGTTGTAAAACAGTGTGCATAGTATGACGTATTTCTGTAAAAGTAATAATTATATACATATATGTGTTAGTCATTTCATAGAAGTGTCCAGATGAATGTGCATGAAAACTGGTAACAGGGTTGGTTATTTATAGGGCTGTAATTATAAGAGAAATTTTACTTTATACATCATATAGCTAAATAATATTTTAAGTTTTACAGTGCGTATGTACTGCTTTTCTACAGTGAAACCTTTTTTGTTTCCTGAAATAGTTCTTTTAATTGTATAAAATATACATGACATTTTTATCGTGTTAACCACTTTCAGTTTGCAGCTTAGAGGTGTTAAATACATTGTTGTGCAATCAATCTCCAGAACATTTTTCAGCTTGCAAAACAGAAACTCTGTCCTCATTAAGCTTTCTCTCAGCCACCCTTCTGCACACTTATGTTGTTTCCAACTAGAGTAACAATATAGAAAGTAGCCACCCTTCTACTTTCTGTCTATAAATCTGATTATTCTAGGTCCCTCATGTAAGTGTTATCGTATTGTATTTGTCTTTTTGTGACTGGCCTCTGTCACTTAGCATTATGTTCTCTAGGTTAGTTTTTTGTTTTTTGTCTTCAGTAAGAATGGCACAAATTTCGTAGGTAATTGGATAAATAAATGCACAGTCACTTCATAGTTAGGTAGTGCAAATACAAATAAATATGAAAAGTTATTTTTAAGATGTACATTAACGAAACCTTTTGGTTATCAAATTAACACACATTTTTTTAAATTGCTAATACTCTATGATGGCACTGAAACATTAAAACACAATCTGATTCACTGCAATTGGGAATATACATCTGACAAGTAATTTGACAACATATATCAAGAACTTATAAGGCAGACCTTTATGCCCATTAATGCTGCTTCTCGGAAGCTAGCCTGAAGGTAGTCAGACATATGGGTACAGATTTATGTTTAAAGGTTTTCATTACAAAGTTATTCATTATATTTTACTCTAGTTGGAAACAACATAAGTGTGTAAGTAAATTATGCATTTCTATCCATGATTCTAAATGAGGTGGCAAAAGGGCTATCTATAGCTGAATTTCTGAGACGGGTGTGTTTAGTTTGTAAAAGCATTTGTAAAATTGCCATTAATTTAAGTAACGTTAGAGGAAAGCATAAGATCTGTACGTATATCAATAGAAAGGACTTCTATAGTGGGGATCGCCAATTTATATGATGGTATATTACACATACTGTACATTTTCAGTAATTTTAATGACATCATGAAAGGTTCATGATCAAAAAAGGGATAGAAACCCATGATTACAGAATGATCTCAATTATGAAATAAAAATGCCTTTTTTTTTTTTTTTTTTTTTGAGTCAGAGTCTCACTCTGTTACCCAGGCTGGAGTGCCATGGCACAGTCACAGCCACCCCAGCATTGACTTGCTGGGCTCCAGCTATCCTTCTGCCTCAGCCTTCCAAGTAGCTGGAACTACAGGCGCATGCCACCACGCCTGGTTAATTTTTGGTTTATTGTAGAGACAAGGTCTCACCAGGTTGCCCGGGATGGTCTCAAACCCGTGGGCTCGGGCAATCCACTCGCCTCTGCCTCCCAAAGTGCTAGGATTACAGGCTGAGCCACCAAGCCCGGCCGAAAAATGCATTTAAAAAAGACTTGAAATTACATGCCAAATGTTGACAGTGTCTGCCTCAGTAGTGGAATACCGAGTTACCTCTTTACCCTCATCTACACTGTATAAATACTCTGAAATAAACATGTTACTTTTGTACTATCAGGAAAATACAGTTTTAAAATATACACTTAAAAGGGTAGAGTTCAGATATAATTAGAGATATGTCATTCTTCTAAAGATACTTCCATTTAAATTCCAGGGCTTTAGGATCAGATACGGGAGGATCAACCAGAAATCCAGCTGCCCACTGTGGGCTTGTTGGTTTCAAACCCAGCTATGGCTTAGTTTCTCGTCATGGTCTCATTCCCCTGGTGAACTCGATGGATGTGCCAGGAATCTTAACCAGATGTGTGGATGATGCAGCAGTTTTGTTGGGTATTTATATGATTACATATCATTTGAGACAATTCCACTATAAAGCAATACATGTGTCACCCATAAGTATTTCTCCTTACAGGTGTGCTGGCTGGACATGACCCCAAAGATTCCACCACGGTACAAGATCCTGGAAAGCCATTCCTACTTCCCAGTTTGACAGATGTGAGCAAACTGTGTATAGGAATTCCAAAGGTAACGTTTTCCTTTTATACACAGACACTATCAAGTCAAATAGCACAGGCTTGGGAGGCAGCCTGGTTGGGTTTGAATCCCTGTTCAGCCACTTTTATCAGCCGTGTGACTTGACCATGTAACTTAATCTCTCTAAGCTCTATTTCCCCATTTGTAAAATGTAGATAATAAAAATATTGACCTCAGAGGTTTGTGAGAATTAAATTACACAGTCATGTTAAGCTGGGGTCTGTTTTCTTTTCTGTAGGGGCCAGATAGTAAATATTTTAGACTTTGTGGACCATACAATCTTTATTATAACTACCTAACTCTACCATTGTAGTGAGAAAGCAACCAGAGACAATATACACATGAAAGTGTGTCTGTGATCTAATTTATTTTCAAATAAAGCTGGCTGGTCACATCTGGCCCATGGGCCATGGTCTGTCAGTCCCAAATGTAAAGGACTTAGCCCAAAACCATACCTTGCATGCTAAGGCTTCAGTAAATGTTACTATCTTGTTATTATTATGACTACTACTACCACACCTATTACAGTAGTAATTGAATAATTTTTTATTACATAAATGTAATAAAGTTAAATTACTGACCTTTAAAAAATATTAAGCCTAACAATATATTAATGCTTTAAGCCTTTTAGAAAGATAATTTATCCTGCAGAATAATAAGATTTCTCAACCTCAGCACTGTTGGTGTTTTGAGCTGGATAACTGTGTGTTGTGGGAGACTATCCTGGGCGTTGTAAGATGTTTAGTAGTATCCCTGGCCTCTACCCTGGGATGCCAGTAGTGCCCCCACCCCCACAGCTCCACAAGGAGAAATATATGCAGACATTGTCGAATGTCCCTGGGTTAGGGAAAAGGAGACAAAAATAGTCCCCAGATAAGACTATGCTACAGAGAAATACTACTTTCTTTAAATTCTTTATGGTAATATCTATGCTTTCTTTGAAGAACTTAGAGAAAGCACAGGTTTTATTTATTTATTTATTTATTTATTTATTTATTTATTTATTTATTTATTTATTTTGAGTTGGCATCTCACTCTGTCGCCCAGACTGGAGTGCAGTGCACGCTCCCGACCTCCACAGCCTCTACCTGCTGGGCTCCGGCGATCCTTCTGCCTCAGCCTTCCAAGTAGCTGGAACTACAGGCATGTGCTACCACGCCCGGCTAATTTTTTGATTTATTGTAGAGATGAGGTCTCGTCAAGTTGCCCAGGCGGGTCTCAAACCCGTGGGCTTAGGCACTCACCTCAACCTCCCAATGCACGGGATTACAGGCTGAGCCACTGAGCCCAGCTTAAAGCACAGGTTTTAAAACGGGCCTACTTGGAATCCTAGATCCTCTACTTACCTGCTGTGTAGGTAAAGTAACTTCTCATCTCAATCGTTTCCATTAATAAATGAAGGATGATAATGCCTATGTCATGGGCTTGTTAAAAGCATTAAGTGAGAGAACCCTTAAAAAGCATATGGAAAAAGAAACAAAGAAAAACATCTGGCAGAGTACCTGATACATAGTGAACATTTAACAAGTATGTTTACTGACCACATCTCCAGTCTTTAATGTTGTTGTATCCAGCTCACAATATCTAGTACTGTGTTTGTCATGACATACTTTTGAATGAGTTCAATCCTTCTAGCTATTTACCAGCAATTTTATCATATTTCCTAGTGTATTACCAAAGGTTCTGGAGCACAGATTTTTCTCAAACCATCCATACAGATGTTCCAACTTTTGTATCTTGACTTTTTCTCATAAGGAATATCTTGTACCAGAATTATCAAGTGAAGTACGATCTCTTTGGTCTAAAGCTGCTGACCTCTTTGAAACTCAGGGGGCCAAAGTAATTGAAGTATCCCTTCCTCACACCATTTATTCAATTGTTTGCTACCACGTATTGTGCACGTCGGAAGTGGCATCGAATATGGCAAGATTTGATGGGCTAGAATATGGTAAGATGGCTGGGGTTTTTTTGATTTTTAAGGTAATTGTCTTAAGCATTTGAAAGTTTCACTTACTAGAAACTTTCAAAAAAGTTGCCTGAGATAATGTTAATGATTCAGAAAAGTTAATCAGTGAATCATTTTACCTTTGTCATTTTAGAATTGTACTTAAACTATTCATCATAAGTATCTCTGTAGGTTCAGTTTGCTTCTCTGGACTGTGGATAGCTTGAGGGATAGTACTTTATTGTTGAAAGCTCAGTCCAGTAGTGCCTGGAACATGGTGGGAGCTCAAGAAAAGTTTGAATGAATGAATAAATGAGAGAGTGACCAAATAAAGTTTCTTTCCTGGTTATTGTCATCTCTCTCCATGACCAGTCAGTCAGTCACAAGGCAGAGAAAAGTAGCCATTAAGAACGACTCCTGGCCAAGGCAAGAGGGTTGCTTGAGGCCAGGAGTTTGAGACCAGTGTAGGCAACATAGTGAGACCTCATCTCTACAAAAAAATTAGCCAAACATGGTGGCACATGACTGTAGTTCTAGACTCGGAAGACTAAAGCTGAAGGATTGCCTGAGTCCAGGAGGTAAAGGTTGTGGTGAATTGTGATTGGGCTACTATACTCCATCTTGGGCGACAGAGTGAAACCCCAACTCAAAAAAAGAATAACTTCCTAAATTTTAGTATTGGTCACAAAAACGTGACTCTAGGCCTGGTATTAGCCAAAACTTTACTTCCTTTTCAAGTAATATTCATCTCTTTTGTGTTTCCAGGTCACAGGTGTAACATTGATGTGTCCACTGAAGCCATGTATGCTGCCACCAGGCGAGAAGGGTTCAATGATGTGGTGAGAGGACGAATTCTCTCAGGAAACTTTTTCTTATTAAAAGAGTAAGACAGTTTAGGCATTTTCTCCATTCTTAAAACCTCAAGAGTAAAGTAGTAGCATCTCTGTCAGGTCTTATAAGTCAAGAAATTGCCAAAGAAACAACATCTTTATGATTTGAATTAGAAAAGGCTTGTTTGTGGCAAGTTTGGTTGCTGGTATTCAAAAAACAAGAAAAAAATTGATGCTTTAGCTAAATGATTAGTACAAACTATGGTACGCCTTTCATATTTTTGGGTTCTGCATCCTTAGATTCTACAGCCCTGGGTCAAAAATATTCCAAACATAAAATAAAATTTAAAATAACAAGATAGAGGCCAGGCACAGTGGCTCCCGCCTGTAATCTCAGCACTTCGGGAGGCCGAGGGGGGAGGACTGCTTGAGCCCAGGAGTTCAAGACCAGCCTGGGCAGCATAGCGAGACCTTGTCTCTACAAAAATAAAAAAAATTAGTCAGGGATGGTGGCATGCGCCAGTAGTCCCAGCTACTTGAGTGACTGAGGCGGAAGGATCACACCTGAGCCCAGAAGTTCAAGGCTGTGGTGAGCTGTGATCGTGCCACTGCACTCCAGCCTGGGCAACAGAGTGAGACCTGACTAAAAAAATAATAATAATACAACAATAAAAAGTAATACAAATAAAAAAGCAATACAATATAAAACTGTTTACATTGTATTAGGTGTTATAAGTAATCTAGAGATGATTTAAAGTACACAGGAGCATGTGTACAGATTATATGCAAATATGACACTGTTTTATATCAGGGACTTGAGTGTCTGAGGATTTTGGTATCCATGGGGTCCTGGAACCAAGCCCTACAACAGGGAAAACTGTAAGCTGGGAGCCCCTAGGATGCTTAGCCTTATTAACTATCCCTTGGCCATTATTGCCACATTGGCTTATTACTGGTACAGCCTTAAGCAGGCAGTTATACTATTGTCTCTTTAAAAATTTAGTGAATCAATTTAGTTTCTCCTTGTATTATGTATTTATTTGCTCCAAGAAAGAATTATAATTTACTAAGACTTCTACTTAGATTGTCTTCAATGAAAGTTTAGCAACAATCTTGTGAATAGAATTCAACTTCCATACCACAGTCTAAGAAGACCTGAGAAGTGTGAAAAAGTAAGACTTGTTATTGTCATGAGTAGCTTCCTGGAGTTTTGCTCCATGCTGTCAAGGGCAGAAAGCATCTTATTCATCTGTACATCCCCTCAGGGCCTATAGTTAGGAATACTTTTTCTAAAAATACTATTTGATTATGTTTTATATTAAAAAGACTCTTATCCATATTGACCAAATGCTTGTAATGACTTTTGAATAGGAAAAGAAAATGAAACATTGCTAAGGATTTTCTAAGCAAAGACTGTTATCACGCTGAAGATTTTACATTTGCTAAATATTACTGATTAGAATCATATTGTATATCTCAGGGCACAAGTTGATGGATTATACAGAGCGGGTGCCAAAAAATGTACACACGTTTTAAGAAAGGAAAAAACTGTATTCAAATTGTAATACTCAATGTATACTGGTAATAAAAGTTGAATACAAGTCACATTTGACTTGTGCAATGACAAGAGGTGCTCAGAGTGGTTCTCATCAGCATCTAGACACTTCTGATGATGGCAAACTACTGCAGGACTTGTTGCTGTGCAAGGCCTCCTGGATCTTCCCTTGTGCACATCACACACAGGACCATGCATCTCCAACTTCTCATGAATGCGTGCAGTTGGAGGTTCTGTTGCATACTCATGCCTCCATCGTACTTCCACGATGTTCTCGAATTTCTTTTTTTATTTTTTTTAGTGGAAATCTCACTCTGTTACCCAGGCTGGAGTGCAGTGGCACGCTCACGGCAACCACAGCCTCGACCTGCTGGGCTCAGGTGATCCTTCTGCCTAAGCCTTCCAAGTAGCTAGAACTACAGGTGTGTGCCACCACCTCAAATTTCAAATACCACTTCAAAATGGTCTTGTGTTCCTTGAACAACAACCGTGCTTCTGCCATTTTCTTTGACTATCCTGCCTGTTGGATGGTGACACTAGTATTCGTTTCATTAACGCCATCCTTTGAGTAAATGTCATACTACACTGTAATTCAATTCAGCTTCAAAAAATAATATATAGATAATATCTCTTAAAATGTATATACAATTTTTTGGTACCCCTGTCATTGTACAGCATAAAAAAGAAATTGAGGGAGGGGAGTCTAAAAGTGTCTTCCATTATCACCAGTTGGGGTACTGATGAGAGGAAGTGAGAACTAATGCTAGTACCCCCAACTTTTGAGACAGTTCCAACTTGGGTCAACTTGTTTTTTGGGATATAATGGGTCTATATGGATGATAGGAAAAATGGAATTTGGAGTACTTGGTGTTTTTGTCTTAAAAAGTCAACCTATGTGCCAAGAACTCTAAAAAGTCTTAACATTTTATATTCATGTGATACCTCAGTTTAGAATTATTCTTCTTTTGCCCTTTTTTCAATAAACACATATTTATTGAATTAGGAATCCAGGGTTTATTTTTAATTGGCATACATATTTGTTCTTAAACCACATTTAACTCTACCTTTTGCGTATTTTCTTTCTTTCTGTCCATCTTTTCATCTTCCTTATGTTGTTTTTTCTTTAAATTATAATTTTCCTCTTAAAAAGATTGAAAATGATTAAGAAGTCAAAATTTGAACCATATTTAAAGTAGGAGGAAATTTAATAGAAAACAAGCATTTGTTCTTTTATAAATTCAGATATTCCAATAGCATTCTTTTAGAAAAGAAGATTTGACATTTCTACCTGATTTGGCTGTAACAACTCCAGTACTACTGAGGGGCTTGTTAGGCCCTGAGTTGTAGATCTCTTTTTACAGTTGAGAAGACAGAATTAGAACAGATAGTTCTTTTGCTTGCCTTTCTTAACAACTTTAGAAGGAAGGGTCTAAAAAGTGTTATTTTTCCCTTTCTTGGCCTCATTGACTTATAGCTGCACCTATGTGTGGCCTTTTCTTTAATATTTTAAGTAAAGTAAGCGTTCCTCCTTGAATTTCACATTGCTACTCCTGGGCTATGCCTATCTACAAAGTACACATTTCAAATGCTATATACTTTCCCCATTGTCTATTTTCAGAACCTGTTTCTTAGGAGTGTCTCCTAGTGTCTAATTCAGATGGTGTATTAGAGTCTTTATAATAATTAGTTGCCATTATACCATAGATGAAGTAAGACATAATAGAAAGAGGATTGGAATGAGCCTCCAAAGACCGAAGTTCTAGTCTACTCTGCCAACTGTCTGTCTTTGTAACCTTTAGATAGTCATTTAATTGCTAAGCACTTTATATTCTTCATGTGAAAGTGAATGTTCTGGTTTAGTGATGTCCCTGGAAGTATTACTGTTTTGTGATTATATGTGTAGAATTGCGTCTAGTAGTGAATTCTGATTGACTGGATTCCAGATATGCAAACTTTTAGAATACCAGCACAGTTGAACAGATTTCATTTTTTGTGTTGTTAGGAACCTTAGTCTTGTCTGTTCATAAAAGCCAAAATTCAGTGGTTCTTTATCAAACCTAATGTAAGATAAATGATTCAAAGAAAAATATTTAAAAAGCCTTATAGACTGGGTGCAGTGGCTCGCACCTGTAATCCCAGCACTTTGGGAGGCTGAGGCAAAAGAATTGAGCCCAGGAGTTCGAGACCAGCCTGGGCGGCATAGTGAGGTCTTGTCTCTAATTAAAAAAATATATATGTAAATAAAAATAAAAAGCCTTTAAAATATTATCTACTTTTTCCCCACAGAAACTATGAGAATTATTTTGTCAAAGCACAGAAAGTGAGACGCCTCATTGCTAATGATTTTGTGAATGTTTTTAACTCTGGAGTCGATGTCTTGCTAACTCCCACCACCTTGAGTGAGGCAGTACCATACTTAGAGTTCATCAAAGAAGACAACAGGACTCGAAGCGCCCAGGATGATATTTTTACACAGGCTGCAAATATGGCAGGTAAGAACCCCCCAGGAACATTCTGGTTTCCTCAAATTCTTTGACGGATCCCCTGGGCTCCACCTTAGGTCCTAGTGAGATTCTTCATACATTTAAGAGTATTTTTTAAATTTTTGTTTTGAAAAATTTCAAACCTTCAGAAATACTGAAGAAGGAATATAATGAATGCCCTTTACCTGGATTCATTCTTGTTAACATTTTGCCTTATTTTTTTTGTCCTTCTCTTCCTCTGTTTCTTAATATGCACATGCACATGAGCATGCATACGTACACTTTGTTTTTAATTGAATCATTTGAAAGAAAGTTTCAGATGTCATGATATTTCATTTCTAAATACTTCAGCACAGGTCTTCTAAGAATAAATTCTCCTATATAACCACAGTTCCATTATCACACCTAAGAAAACTAACATTAATTCAGTAATAATCCAAATATAGTTCATATTCAGATCTTCTCATTGTACCATAAGTGTCTTTTATAAGTTGTTTTTCCCCACCTCAGTGTCCCAAAGTGCTAGGATTACAGGCATGAGCCACCACACCCAGCATATGATATCTTTTTAAATACAAAACAATCACCCTCCCCCCCTTTTTTAAGAACCACATCTGACTCTGTTATAATGTTTATTTCAACCATCAAACATAATGTGGAAAACTCAAAAGACTTGTATGTACTTATGCTTAAGCTTACTGTGTTCCTTCTTCCTTCCTGAAGTACCAAGATTCTTTCTCGTATCACTTCTTTTCTGTTTAGAGAAATTTCCTTAGCCATCCTTTTAGAGTAGGTCTGCTGGTAACACATTCTCTTTTCTCCTGAGAAGGTCTTGATTTCCCTTTAATTTTTAAGGGTTATTTTTGCTGTGTATAGGCTTCTGGTTCAACAGTTCTTGCCTTTACCACATAAAAAAATGTGCCACCTTCTTCTGTCCTGCATGGTTTCTGATGAGAAAAACCCCCTCTTAAAAAAATCTCCTTTTAAATAACAGTGAATTGTTTAAATAGCCCAGTCCACTTGTTCTGTAGGATGTCTCATTCGTAATCTGGATTTGTCAGATTGTTTCCTCATGATTGGGCTGAGTTAAACATTTTTGGCAGAAATACTACATGAACAGTTAATATCAGTTCATCCCACTTTTGGAAACTTGATTGCTTGGTTAAGGAATAGCTGCCAGGTGTTTTCCTTATAAGGTACATTTTTTTCTTTTATTATTTATAAGCAATTTGTGGGATGATATTTTGAGACCACGTAAATATCCTATTCCCCAATAATCTTGAACCAAATTTTAGTGTCCATTGATGAGCCTTGCCTGAATTAATTATTACCTAGAGAGTTACAAAATTCTGGGCTTCACTAATTCTATAATTTCTTCTACATTTATTGGCTAGCAGTTGTCTCTAAAGGAGAGCTTCCCTTTTTTTAATACAATGTATTATAAGCAATTACTGTCATTATTATTTTTGGTGCTCAAATTGTCCCAAATTTGGCCAGTAGGAACCCCTTCAAGTTGTATTATCCTTTAAAACTGTCCCCATTAATTTTTGGAAACTTCCTTATCTTATGGCATAACAAGATGTTCCGGCATTTTGTACTTTTTCTGCCCAAACCTGTAATTAAAAACTACACTGAGCTAATGGATTTAAAACCTAAAATTAAAACCACCCTGAGCTAATTTCTCATCTAATGAATTGGCAAAAATTCAAAAGATCAACAACACACTCTGTTGGCAAGACTGCAGGAAAATAATCACTCATTTTGCCGGTGGAAATTCACAATGGCACAACTTCTTTGAAGGGGAACTGGCAGTATCTAATTACACATGCATTTATCTTTTAATGAAGCAGTCCCTCTTGATCTAAGAAACTTTCAAGAATATCGAAAAACATGTACACAAGATAATTCATTAGGGCATTGTATGCAAGAGCTAAATGTTGAAAACAACCATAGAAAAATAATCAATTATAGATAAAACCATGTCATGGAGTACTATCCACCTATAAGCAAGGAAGGAAGAAGATCTCTTGACCTTATGATACAGAGTGATTCCAAGGTATGTTGTTAAGTGAACAAAACATGTATATAGTGTATCTTTTGTTGTTTTCTAAACTTTGTCCTGTATCACGAGGTCTGACAGTTAGGTTCACAAACCATCCTAGAAAAAGTGCTCCATCCCTCTTTGCTGAATATCACTACGATCACCTTCGAAGTACTCCCCTTGGGAAGCTATGCACCGACATCAGCACCTAATTCACCTGACAAAGCAATTTTGGAATTATTTTTCTGGAATGACCATCAGAGCTATTGTCATTATTTGTTGGGGTCTGACAATTAAGTTCACGAACTTGCCACTGTGCGCTTCCATTGGCAGCACTGTACAAATCACTATTGGAACACCCTCCCTTACCTGAGCTGGCCCCCAGTGACATTTTTCTTTACCTGAAGATAAAGGAAATATTGAAAGGAAGACATTTGCTGACATTCAGGACATCGAGGGTACCAGACTCTGGCATTGGTGCATAGCTTCCCAAGGGGAGTACTTCGAAGGTGACCGTAACACTTTTTCTAGGATGAGTTTGCAAACTTAATTGTCAGACCTTGTATACTTACTAGCACTGGAAAGTAGACATCTCTGCTTCTCAGGATGGGGAATTGATGAACGGGTTTCTTTTTTTCAGGGTTGCCAGCAGTGAGTGTCCCTGTGGCACTTTCAAACCAAGGGTTACCAGTAGGACTGCAATTTATTGGACGTGCATTTTGTGACCAGCAACTTCTTACAGTGGCCAAATGGTTGGAAAGACAAGTACAGTTTCCTGCTATTCAACTTCAAGAACTCGTGGATAATTTTTCATCAATCCTTGAAAGTGAAAAGTTAGCTTCTATTTCTCTAAAACAGTAAAGATAGATGGATCAGACAATTGAAATGACTTTTAGATATTCTGTACTCCAAAGAGTCAAATGATCCCACTCAATTCTTGTAATTAGGTTCGTTGTCAGTACAGTCATTCCTTGGAATCACGTTTGAAAATTCCTGTGATAATTAGTTACAAATAATCTGTCAGCATTTAAGCGCCCACTAAGTGCAGACTATGGGATTTCTACTATAACACAAGATACACGTTCCTGAGAAAGATTACATACTGCAAAAATGTTTATTAAAAAGAGCAAGAGTTTACAGTAAAAATAAGATTTGGGATAAATTTCTCAAAATGTGTGCCTCTCTGTAACTAAAGCATTAACAAAAACAATAATAGTACCTCTAGAGATAACCTGGAGAGCCCAGACAGGCAACTCATCATGTGGTAGAGGGTACCTCAGGAGATGTTAAAAGTGCACAGAAACATGGCTGCTGGTGCTGAGCACAGCAGGTGGAAGATGACTCTGAGCATGGGAGGAAGTGCAAACTGCTGGGAGCCAAACTCATGCAAAACTGGGGTATGCCTCTCTGGAGAGGAGCCCCAGGTGCAGGCTCTAAAAATAGAGCTCAGATGACTTGAGAACTTTCTTCATTTCCTCCCTAGAGTTAAAATTTTACTTTTGCTGTCCCAGAGCCTTGCCTAGGAGCCAAAACAACTCCTTGTTGCCCTGAATTCTTTCTCCTAGTTACTGATCACGAATGAGCTCACTAATGTGATAGAAACACTTGTTGTAACCTACCAGACCATATGGAACTGGAACTTAGTGGCAAAGCATAGTCGTCATGAGAAAGGTTCAGGATACACAACATTCATTCTGAAAAAAATGCATGGATGATTGGGTGAGGATGCCAACCAGGAAAGCAGTACATGGCAGGATCCTTCCTAACCCCAAATACTCTATTTTTTATGGTTTTCTTACACTTTGATTGTCTTTACCAGTATTTTTTATTTGGGCCCCTTGAATCCAAAGAGATATTAATGGAGATCTGTGTTCAATATTTGCAGTGTCTGTGGGTGCTTAGGGTATCCGTGGTGTTTAGAATCTAATGGAAATCATACATGAGTCACAATAAGTCTTCATTGAAATTTTGTCTTGACTGCTAGAGTAACATTATCATCTCATGTTGATCAAGTGTTCTAATTTGGCACTTATATATTACTGATAAATAAAAGTAGAAAGCTGAATTATTTAATGCATTCACTGGTTAGTAAGAAGAAAATTTTCTAAATATGAAATACATGAAGAGGCTCGGCATGGTAGGTCATGCCTGTAATCTCAGCACTTTGGAAGGTTAGGGTAGGAGGATTGTTTGAGGCCAGGAGTTCAAGGATAGCCTGGGCAGCATAGCAAGACCCCATCTCTGCAAAACTTTTTAAAAATTAGTTGGAGCAGCCGTTTCTGTAGTCCCAGCTACTCAGAAAGCTGAGGCTATTCACTTGAGTTCAGGAGTTCGAGGCTGCAGTGAGCTGTGATTGGAGTCACTGCACTGTAGCCTCAGTGACAGATCAAGACCCTGTCTCAAAAAATAAAAATGTGTGAGAAAAAGTCAGAACCATCTGCAGAACCAGAGGAATGTTTTCTCACAGAAATTTGACCTGTTCATTTTATGAGTAGTGTCTCTCCTCCCTGGGAGCCTCCTCCTCCCAAATGCTCAATTTGATAAACTTGACATGAAATCTTTATGTGCCAGGCTCCATATTCTTATGAATTTTGACTCTGAATCTCTGGAAGAGGAAGACATCCACAAGAGAGAGACTGGCATTACTTTATAACAAGAGGAAGCCATGTTAGGTGAAGGAGCTAGTATGATGTAAAAAAGCAAGCAAATAAATAAATGTTTGCCCTGTCTTTTTTTATGTATGTATAATTTTAATGGAAAATTTTTCAAAGATGTACTCTCTTGTTCCTGTATCTCTGCTTGAGTTGCACTAACCATTGAAATCTGGAAATAGAAGAGTGAAACATTTACCGCTCCCATATGGTACCCAACTAGCATGAAGTGATACCTCATGTGTTCTCCTCTTTCTCCTTCATCTTTACCCTATGTCCAGTGGCTATTTCACCAAGTCACTGGGAATTTAAGTGACACTCTGAAGTTGTTAGCAACAAAACTGCCAGAACAGGGCTTCGGAAAGGTGAAGGTGGCTACAGATATAAGATGCGTTCCCTGATAAGGCCCAGAAGACCAAACCTAGCAACCCAAAGCAAAAGGTAGGAGGAAAACAAAAGCATCCCAGGGTGAAAAAAATGTGATGCTATCCCAAAACTTGGTACCATGATACCACACAGAGCCAAAGGAGCAGGTGGGAAAACCAGTGTTTGCTGGCCCACACGTAGTGTTACCGAGAAAGTCGCTGGAAACCCAGGAGCCAGAAGCTTCCCTTTGAATGGCTGGCACCAGCGCCTCTGTTATGACAACAAACTTGGGCTATTTTTTAAAAAGGTACAGAAGAAGAGCTTGCGAAAGTGACAAAAAGTTATTCCTATTAGGAAATAATCTGCACCTTCTAACATACACAAGTACCCTTAGGACAGTGCAAAGAGAGAGGGTTACAGGGTACCAATAAGTAGACTTTGAGACTCTAAGCTGTGTGCCACACCCCATCCCATTCAAAGCAGGACAGTGAAATAATGGAATTTTTTAAATTGTATAACAAACTTTCACTCACTGGCTACTTTTAGACCCCTTCCATTTCCTCAGACATCTGGTTTATCTGTACCAAGGCTAATGTGCAGTGTTGTGGGTGCTTAGGGTAAAATGTATCCATGGTGTTTAGAAGCACAAGAGGCAGTTTAAATAGAAGGCTTTCCTTGGTTACTACACAGCAAAAGCAATGTGTACACTGGAGTATAAACTTGAAGGTTTAATAAAGGGAAGTAGCATGCAGAAACCCAGCCAGCATTGAGTAAAGGTCACGATTACAGAGCTGCAAAGGGGCTTCCTTATTTCTTTTTCTTCATACCTCAATGGAATATTAATCCAAAAGGATTTTAGACAGTTTATTAAAAAAATATTATTATTACCATAAGTATGAAAGTAAAGAGTTGAGGAAATTGGTGAAGCCGTAATAAAAGAGGAGAGGAAGAATAAAACCAAGAATAAGATTTAAAACAAAAATACTTATCAAAGTTGTCTATATAAATACTTGAGGCTGGATATTGTGTGATACAGAGGGAAATTTCCCAGTAGCTCTCCTGGTGGGGTAAGGCCACCAGATTTAACAATCACTAGGTACCTTGGCTCATGTCTATAATCTCAGCACTTTGGGAGGCCAAGGCAAGAGGATTGCTTGAGCCCTGGAGTTCAAGACCAACCTGGGTAACAGAGCAAGCTCTTGTCTCTACAAAAAAAATCAAAAATTAGCCAGGTGTGATGGCACCTGCCTATAGTCCCAACCTACTCAGGAGGCTGAGGTGGAAGAATCGTCTGAGCCCAGGAGGTCAGGGCTGCAGTGAACTGTGACTGTGCCACCACACTCCAATCTGGGTGACAGAGTGAGACCCTGACTAAAAACAATTAATAAAAAAAATCAGACAAACCTGGGACCAAATCCTATTACTGCCATTCACAAGCTGTGTGATTCATGGACTGTGAGATACTGAGCTTCAGTATCCAGATCTGTGAAATAGGGATAATATCTACTCCATGGGGTAGTTGGGAAGATTAACTTTAAATGATGCACTGAAAGCATCTAGCATTATGCCTGACAGAATAAGCACTCAATAATTTGTAGCTATAAATAAATGCATGCAATCATGTATTTAAGTCATTTTCATATAGAAGCTTCATGGTAAACTAATGGCATAGAGCCACATTGTAATTTACTGAAAACCTAGCCAGGAGCAGTGGCTCACACCTGTAATCCCAGCATTCTGGGAGGCAGAGACAAGAGGATTGCCTGAGCCCACAGTTTCGAGACCAGACTGAGCAACTTGGTGAGACCTCGTCTCTATAATAATTTTTAAAAATTAGCTGGTCATGGTGGCACACACCTATAGTTCCAGCTACTTGGAAGGCTGAGGCAGAGGGATTACCTGAGCCCAGCAAGTCAAGGCTGCAGTGACTGTGAGCTTGCCACTGCACTCCAGCCTGGGTGACAGAGTGAGACTGACTCAAAAAAACCCAAAACCAAAAACAGACAAGCAACAGTAATTTACTGAAAACTTGTATGAGAGACCAGTTACATACCTCCTTGGTGATCTGGCATCCTCTGAAGATATAGTTTAAAATATGTGGATGAATTGATGGGCTAGCAATTTCCATGAGTTGTTGTTTTTGAAACTTTGTCACCCTGACTGGAGTGCAGTGTCACAATCATGGCTCACTGCAGCCTCCAACTCCTGGACCCAAACCCTTCCCCCTCCTCAGCCTCCTGAGTAGCTGGGCCTACAGGTGCACACCACCAAGGATGGCTAATTTTTTTTTTTTTTTCATTTTTTTGTGGAAACAAGTTCTTGCTATATTGCCCAAGCTGGTCTCAAACTCTTGGGCTCAAGCAGTCCTCCCACCTTGGCCTCTCAAAGTGCTGGAATTACTGGCATGAGCCACCATCTGTGAGTTTTTGATAAAGAATTGGCCATCCCAGGGTTCAAAAACCTGTAGGTCTTCAAAGGTTGTGCTCCTCCAACCAAACGAAGGACCGAAGTCCCTTTAAAGAATGAAGGCTTCCAAAATGGTCCTCTGACCATTCCTGTGGGGAAACATGTTTTTGACAGCAAACTTCTTCCTCATAAAAAGCAGTTCCATTCTAACATATAGACAGGCTGCTGAGGCTCCAAAATACTGTATCTTAGCTGCAATTACTTTAACATGGAAAAATGTTAAGGTCGTTGTTACCAACAACCAAGTAGTACATTCATTAGAGAAAAGAAGTTAATGAAGTACCCACGGGGCATCTAATTGTAAGCAATTTCACTCCTTGGTGAATCTTCCATAATAAATTAGTTGCAAAATGGGCCTGTAGGTAAATGAATAACATGATAAA